AAGTGTTAGTACCAACCAGAACTGACTACTATGAAGTGTTAGTACCAGCCAGAACTGATGCACTAATAAAATATTCTCGTTCAAACAGTTATTGGACATGTTTAATCTTACTTGAGCAGAAATCCCTCTGCCAGCATGGTGAATAGGATGGAGAATCTCCTGAGGACTGTAAACATGGGCAGACTGGTGGAGGACATAACCAGCAGCAGAAAATTATCCTGCCAGTCGTGATCTATTTCTGTTTTATGATCGTGTCTCGTCAGGGAAGAGAGAAGTACTTACTTCAGCTTTTTAGTGCCAAACAGGCCAGTGATTTGATTTCCCACGTAAAGGAGAGGTAGAGGAAACGTCTAGACAGCAGGGACATCACAACGAGCTTTAACTTTGAAAGTACAGATGCGAAACAACCGGAAGCTCGTTTCTGAACTTGTCTGTGCGCGTGTGTTACCTTGTGAGGCGTGCTCTCATCAAAATCTGGGAAGGTGATCACCCTCGCAGCCTTGCCCACCCACAGCACAATCACTGTGGCCAGCATCTGAGCGCGCGCACACGCACAGAGACAACATCAGTTTGATCCGTTTGCACAAGCGACGTGAGATGAGCTCTGTGAAACACTTACTTGTCCTAGTCCGACACATATTGATGAGGGAAACCTGAAATAACAGGACAGTTCAGAGACCATCACAGACTGTTGGCGGTCAACATGGAGTCCACGCTGTCATGAAGCAAAAGCTACAAAAAGTGGTTTTTTTTTTTTTATCTGTCTTTAACGAAGCTAAGGAGCTCCACAACAACTTGTAGCCGCTGTTCTCCTAGCTAACATGGAGCTGCATGCAGCCGAGGGCGGTCAACCCGTTACCTGTAGTTCGTCAGGACACTTTTGTTCACCACGACGATCAGGAACGAGCTCAGACCGTAAAAACCGGCGGCAAATAGCTTCGCAAACAGCGGCGAAGGTTTGTCCGCCATACCCGACTAGTTCTCATTCCCCCGGAGCGTAGACACTCCTTCAAGCCCTGCCATCGCTTCTCTTCGCTCTAGGGACCCCTGTTCTGTCCGTTCTTCATACATTGTCAGGTTTTCATGCGCGTAGCACAAACTGACGGCTGCATGAACGAGTTTACATAGTCGGTTTTGAACGACGCTGATTGGTTCAAATGGGAGCGTCCCTAACTGACAGTCCCGCCCATAGGTCCCTCCCTCCTTTGTGTTTGGTGCGCTCGCTTTTTCATCCGGGTTGCGCTGGCGGAGAAGAGTTCCTACATGCCACAGAATAGAATAAAATAAACACATTATGGGATAAAAAAAAACATTTTTTTTAAAAAAAATACATATATAATAACAATACATACCTACAAAATTATTTTTCTAAAGATATTTTGATTCTAAAATAAATAACTTATTTGCATTGTGATGCAAGTAAACCTTACAAAGCGAATAACGGTTATTTTCTGCAACTTTACAACTATATAATGTGTAAATCAATTTAAAAAGTTGAAACTTTTACTTTAAAAAATTTAAAAGTGGTTTCTGCATAATGTACTCATTCACTTAGTTAACTAAAACAAAGGTAGTTTACAAAGTTATTTAATGTCATTTGTGCACAGACCAACAATCAAGGCACACTGGAATTCTTGTGCAGAGCTCTCGCAATCATAGTAAAAAAAATCACTGAAACAACACTAAATAAATACAAACCGGATTCCAAAAAAGTTCAAACACTAAACAAATGGTGAATAAAAACTGAATGCAATGATGTGGAGATGGCAAATGTCAATATTTTATTCATAATATAACATAGATGACAGATCAAAAGTTTAATCTGAGTCAATGTAACACTTTAAAGGAAAAATATGTTGATTCAAAATTTCACAGCGTCAACAAATCCCAAAAAAGTTGGGACAAGTAGCAATAAGTGGCTGGAAAAAGGAAATTGAGCATATAACGAACAGCTGGAAGACCAATTAACACTAATTAGGTCAATTGACAACATGATTGGGTATAAAAAGAGCTTCTCAGAGTGTCAGTGTCTCTCAGAAGCCAAGATGGTAAGAGGATCACCAATTCTACCATTGTTGCGCAGAAAGATAGTGCAGCAATACCAGAATGGTGTTACCCAGCATAAAATAGCAAAGACTTTTAAGTTATCATCATCAACCATGCATAACATCATCAAAAGATTCTGAGAATCTGGAACAATCGCTGTGCGTAGGGGTCAAGGCCGTAAAACTCTACTGGATGCTCGTGATCTCCGGGCCCTTAAACGTCACTGCACCTCAAACAGGAATGCCACTGTCAAGGAAATAACAGAATGGGCTCAGGAATACTTCCAGAAAGCATTGTCAGTGAACACAATCCACCGTGCCATCCGCTGTTGCCAGCTGAAACTCTACAGTGCAAAGAGGAAATCATTTCTAAGCAAGCTCCACAAGCTCAGACATTTGCACTGGGCCAGGGGTCATTTAAAATGGAGTGTGGCAAAATGGAAGACTGTTCTGTGGTCAGATGAGTCACGATTTGAAGTTCTTTATGGAACACTGGGACGCCATGTCATCCGGACCAGAGAGGACAAGGATAGCCCAAGTTGTTATCAACGCTCCGTTCAGAACCCTGCATCACTGATGGTATGGGGTTGCATGATCGCTTGTGGCATGGGCAGCTTGCATGTCTGGAAAGGCACCATTAATGCAGAGAACTATGTTCAGGTTCTAGAACAACATATGCTCCCATCTAGACGTTATCTCTTTCAGGGAAGACCCTGCATTTTTCAAAACGATAATGCCAGACCACATTCTGCAGCAATCACAACATCATGGCTACGTAGGAGAAGGATCCGGGTACTGAAATGGCCAGCCTGCAGTCCAGATCTTTCACCTATAGAGAACATGTGGCGCATCATAAAGAGGAAGGTGCGACAAAGAAGGCCCAAGACGATTGAACAGTTAGAGGCCTGTATCAAACATGAAAGGGAGAGCATTCCTATTTCTAAACTTGAGAAACTGGTCTCCTCTGTCCACAGACGTCTGTTGAGTGTTGTAAGAAGAAGGGGGGATGCCACACAGTGGTAAAAATGGACTTGTCCCAACTTTTTGGGATTTGTTGACGCCATAAAATTTGGAAACAACAGATTTTTCCCTTAAAATGATACATTCTCTCAGTTTAAACTTTTGATCTGTGATTTGTGTTCTATTCTGAATAAAATATTAGATGTTGACACCTCCACATCATTGCATTCAGTTTTTATTCACAATTTGTTTAATGTCCCAACTTTTTTGGAATCCGGTTTGTAAAATAAAAGTAAGAGAAAAGTGGTATATATCTACACTGGACAAAAAGTAGGTAATATCTACACTTTCCCAAAATACATATATGATTTATCAGTTATGGTCTAAATAGAAGAGTTAATACAAATAAGCTGTTTTCAAGGAAAACAAACAAGGAGAAACAACTGAAATGGGTGATTTAGCACAAGAACAGGACTGACAGTCAGTGACAACAGGTTTATGAAAGGTATAACTTAAAAAATTCAAATCATAAATTCATCCATCCATCCATCCATCCATCTGTACATACATACATACATACATACATACATACATATACATGCATGCATGCATGCATACATACATACATACATACATACAGCCATCCAGCCAGCCAGCCAGCCAGCCATCCATCCATCCATCCATCCATCCATACATCCATACATCCATACATACATACATACAGCCATCTATCCATCCATCCATCCATACATACGTACGTACAGCCATACATACATACAGCCATACAGGCACCCATACATACATCCATACATACATACATACATACATACATACGTACGTACATAAAGCCATCCATCCATCCAGACATACATACGTACGTACATACATACATACATACATTCAGCCATCCATCCATCCATCTGTACATAAAGCCATCCATCCATCCATCCATCCAGACATACAGTATGTATGTCTGGATGGATGGATGGATGTACTTTGTATGATGTGTGATGTATGTACATACGTACGTACGTACGTCATACATACATACATCCGTCCGTCCGTCCGTCATCTTTACCCGATTGTTCCTTTTCGGGTTATGGGGGTCACTGGTGCCCATATCCAGCTATCACTGTGAGAGAGGCGGGGGACACCCTGGACAGGTTTCCAGTCCATCACAGGGACACATAGAGACAAACAAACATTCACTCTCTCCCACATACCTAGGGACAATTTACCATTTAGCCTAACATGCATGTTTTTGGGCTGTGGGAGGAAACCAGAGTACTCGGAGAAAACCCACGCATGCACAGAGAGAACATGCAAACTCCACCCAGAAAGGCCCCCGGACCGGGATTCAAACCAGCAATATTCTCACTGAGAGGCAGCAGCTCTACCAACTGCAAATCTTACACAAAAATTTCAGGTCCAAGGTACAACACTGCGCGTCCATATTCATCTGTAAAGCATGAAGGCTCTCTTGTAGATTGTGTTGTATTTCAGCCATGAAGGGTTTTATTCAAATAGGATAAAACTGTGAATCTGTAAGAAAGAAGGCTGGTTTTCCATGTTGCCATATATCTAAAAAAAAAAATCTGAATAGGAAGGAAATGATCCCAAAATGCTATTTCTAGAATTTGGTTCTCACTGTTGTGATTTTCTTTTCAAAAACAAACAAACAAACAAACAAACAAACAATCAAACAAAAAAAACAGGATAGTGCTCGTTTATGTTATCATTCAATTTAATTCAAAGAAATTACAACTGAATATTATATAATTACAAATACAGGACTTATTTATCTTCGAGAGGTGCAACAAAAATCATGTGGAAATAATTTTTATATTTTGTTTATATAATGTTTAATATACTATGAAAGGGGCAACTTTGACACAGTTTATCACTCCAGTAGTGTGTGTGTCATTGTCCAGCAGGTGGGAGCACGTGACCATCTCTGCTTTAAACCAGCTGAGTTTTGTCTACAGATCTGTTACTGTTTCACTGCAGCCTCACAGATGAACAGGATGGTATTTGGGTAGATCATATCGATGGCTGAGATCTCACTCTTCTGATGAACAATTTGCATGAAATTATTTGCATGATTTGATTCAGCAACCTTCTTGCTGAGAGGCAGCAGCTCTATCAACTGCACCACCGTTTTAATCACTTCCAATCAGTTCTTCAGTTCAGTTTTTAGTGTCACCATCTCCAGTTAATGTTTTTTCTTAGTTTATGTCTTGGATCTTATTACTGTTTTTCTTTTACATTTTATATTTTTGTTGGATGTAACTGGGACTCTGTGTACACAATTTCGTTCCACCACATGTACCACATGTGGTCCATCCATCCATCCATTTTCTTCTGCTTATCTGGGGTCGGGTCGCGGGGGTAGCAGCCTAAGTAGGGAGGCCCAGACTTCCCTCTCCCCAGCCACTTGGGCCAGCTCTTCCGGGGGAATCCCGAGGCGTTCCCAGGCCAGCCGAGAAACATAGTCCGTCCAGCGTGTCCTGGGTCTTCCTCTGGGCCTCCTTCCGGTGGGACGTGTCCGGAACACCTCACCAGGGAGGCGTCCAGAAGGCATCCTAAACAGATGCCCAAGCCACCTCAACTGGGTACTCTCGACGTGGAGAAGCAGCGGCTCTACTCTGAGTCCCTCCCGGATGATCGAGCTTTTCACCCTGTCTCTAAGGGAGAGCCCAGACACCCTGAGGAGAAAACTCATTTTGGCCGCTTGTATCAGAGACCTCATTCTTTCGGTCACAACCCAAAGCTCATGACCATAGATGAGGGTAGGACCTCCTCCCTGACCCGGAGAGGGCACTCTACCCTTTTCCGGCTCAAGACCATGGCCTTGGATTTGGAGGAACTGATCTTCATCCCGGCCGCGTCGCATTCGGCTGCGAACCGCTCCAGCGAAAGCTGTAGATCACGATCTTATGAAGCCAATAAGACCACATCATCTTCAAAAGCAGAGACGCAATCCTAAGGCCACCAAAACGGATCCCCTCAACACCTTGGCTGCGCCTAGAAATTCTGTCCATAAAAGTTATGAACAGAATCGGTGACAAAGGGCAACCTTGGCGGAGTCCAAATCTCACCAGGAAAGAGCCCGACTTACTGCCGGCGATGCGGACCAGGCTCTGACACCGGTCGTACAGGGACCTAACAGCCCGTATCAAAGGGCCCGGTACCCCAAACGTAGCACTAACCACTCATTGTAATTACTGGAATTTTAGACGTGGAAGGGGTGTCAGCTTCACCTGCTCAGCTGTGCGCCCTGCAGACAGTGCACGGTTTACGCACAGGAGCGTGTCCAGACAGCTCTGCGGAGCACAACTGCCAATGTGTCAGAACTCCTGCATACATTTCAAAGATAATAAGTAAAAAAGCTTACAGTAAAAAAAAAAAAAAAACGAGTGAAATGTTTGATGTGTATTATTCACATTACATCACGTTCACGTTTCAAAATTAGTTTTTCCACCATGGAGTATGCTCTGTCTGTGAATCAGTTTGTATGATGGCTTGCTCCTCCGATAGAAAAAGTCCTTTGCATGAAGGATGAATTGTCTCAGCAACAAAAGAAGCCGTCCAGATGACCTGACTGAACATTGTTGGATCTTGACCTCGATTATTGAGCACAAACTTTGCTGTTTTGAACCACTTTGGCATTGCTATCTCAGAGGAGTTGATGGGAGAGAAGGCGAACCCTGGAAGCCATCTTATCACCAGCAATATGAGTTTTTCCACTCTGGGGGTTAGCTGTTTGTGGGATTCAGTTTGGTTTGGTGGGTTCCTGGCTGAAAAAGTCCTTCGGATGATGGACTAAAAGTCTCAGCAACAAAAGAAACCGTTCGGATGACCTGACTGAACTTTGTTTAATTCATAACTGGATTAGAGCTGCAGGTTTTGGCCCAAGCCCCCAGCCCAGTAATCGCAGCTCCAATCCAGGCATAAATGGCAGGCAGATTATTAAGTGAAATTCTTTCTTTGGTTTACACTACAGGGTTTACTTTGCTCATAGTTTCAACCTCCATTCTCTTGATCTTTTAAAAAAATATTTTCTCTGTCTTTAACAAGTTTACTGTAATGTAGTTTGAGTGAGCTGTGGGCAGTGTCTGTGAATCTCTGTGAGCCGCGGTCCTTTTCTCTCTTTCTATTGGTCGGGTTTTACATCGTGTCTTCCTATTGGTCAGTTCAAACATCCCGCCAGATCTTTGGTGAAGTTGAGTTTGTTTAAACAAGGTTTTGAGTAATAACACTAACCAGAGAAGTTAGACTGGTTGACATGATGCAGGTGGCTCTCTTCCTGCATAGATGTCTGTGATGGTGGGGAGACTGACTCCAACAGTCTTCTGTGCAGCCTTCACCACTCTCTGCAAAGCTTTTCTTTCTGCAGCTGTGCCGCCTCCATGCCACACGTTGATGCTGGAGCACAGGATGCTCTCCACTGCACACCTGTAGAAGGAGGTGAGGACTGAGCTTCCCAGACCAGCTTGCCTCAGCTGTCTGAGGAAGTAGAGTCTCTGATGAGCTTTCTTGATCAGGCTGGTGGTGTTGTTGCTCCAGCTGAGGCTGTCATTCATTTGTGCACCCAAGTACTTGTAGCTGGAGACCACTTCCACCGCAGATCCTTAAGTCCACGACCATCTCCATCTTCTTCACATTGATGTGAAGGTTGTTCTTCCTGCACCAGCTCTCCAAGTGTTCCACCTCCTGCCTGTAGCTGGACTTGTTTGTGATGCATCCCACCACCACTGTATCATCTGCAAACTTTACAATGTGACAGCCTGGATGGGTAGCTGCACGGTCATATGTGAGCAGAGTGAAAAGGAGAAGGCTCAGAACACAGCCCTGAGGGTAACCAGTGCTGAGGGTTATGATGATGGAGGAGAAGTTGTGGATCCTCAGACTATGGTCCGTTTGTTAAGAAGTCTAGGACCTAGTAGCAAATGGAGAAGCTTAGTCCTAGTGTGAGTAGTTTGTCCATCAGGGTTTGGGGGATCATGGTGTTGAAGGCAGACGTGACGTCCACAAAGAGCATAAGGACGTAAGAGTCCTTCTGCTCCAGGTGGGTGAGAGCAGTGTGGACCACAGAGGAGATGGCATCTTCTGTTGATTGATTCTTGCAGTATGCATACCGGTGAGGGTCCTCACTGATGTTGATGGTAGTTTTGATGTGGGTCATAACCAGTCTTTCGAAGAGGTTGGAGCCCTGGTAACCCACCTGGGCATGGGACACTGAGCTTCTTTTTTTTTTGACCATTGAAATTTCAATGTTCAGTTAAAAAGCAAAATAAAGCTCTTGCATTTAAAAGATGCACAACATTAAACATAAATGCACTCATAAATTATTGTTTAAACCAAGTTTAGATAATTTACATTTGTAGTATGGATGCCTTCATATAGAAAATGTTAAATGTGACACAAGAAGTTAAACACGTCAGGTGTTTTTTGATTAACATTTCTTTTATCCTGATTCATGCGCTCAATAATCCTGGTAGAAAAATGTAAAAATTAAGTCAGGTCTTCTGGATGGATTAAAAAAAACAATGTATTTATTCTTTTTTTTCATCCATTCAACCTTTATTTAGACAGGTAAATCCCATTGAGCCTCAAGGACTCATTTACAAGAGAGACCTGATTCTTAAAATCCATCCAGAAGACCCGACTTAACTTTGTTGGATTTCCTTTCACATGTCATAATGTTTTATTAAACAACAGGTCTGGACTGCAGGCAGGACAGCTAAACAACAATTAGAGTTCAGATTTTTTTTTGTACGACAATACATTTTTTGACATTTTGTGGAATATGCAGTAGGGATATTATTTTCATTTTTCTCTGGCATGAGAAAGGTATTGTTAAGTCAAAGCTCTGGTCCGATAAGTGACCACTGAATGGAGGCCAGCTTCTTGACCTGACCTTGTAAAAAGCCCGTGTGTATTTTGGCAGGTGTTTGCAGGATAAAAACCTGACGTATTTCTGATAAGCACCACGTTTGTGAGTGTGCCACGTTGTCAAAGAGAGCACGGCTGCTGAATCGACCTTTCATTTCTTTCCTCATTATAAGAAAGAAATACAACAGGACACAACAACCATGACTGGACTTAACGCGTCTCTCGGATACTTCCTGGCTGTTGTGGTTTTTGCAGCCTCAGTTCAAGCGCTGCTCAGAAAATGGCCACGATTCAGCTTCATTGTGGAGTTTGCCTCGTCCTTCATGCTGGTGGCATGCTGGCTGGAGGTGCAGACCATAGTGGAGGTGGGCGAGTGGGCCGGGGGTCTGGGTCCTGATGTGACTGTGACCATGTTGTTTGTGCTGCTGCTGACTCATGGTGTTATCTGTGGGGGAGCGTCAGGGAATCCCAGCCTGGTTGTGCAAAAGTTCTTGCAGCTCGAAGCCTCCATCCTGCCCACTGTGCTCGCCGTTACGTCCCAGTTTGCCGGAGCTCACCTGGCCCTTCTTGCAGCTGGATACTACTGGAACCTGGAGCTGACGGACATGCACATGATCAAAAACCTGATGTCTGCTTCTTGCAGCACGTCACTGCTGATCCCTGTGGTTCAGGGCTTTGTGACCGAGTGTGCCTGTGCACTCGTCTTTCATCTTATTCATTTAAATCTTCGGCACAGATCTGCTCTGATCCGGGTGCCTCTGACTGCGCTCCTCCTCACATTCTTGTCCCACACTGGTGAATATGAGAAATTATTACGGAAATTATTTTTTTTTTTTAGCTGGCTTATGTCCTCTAGCTTCTTTAGACTTTGCACAGAAAGATTTTTTTTCTTTTTCTACAACTCTTTTTACACTTAAATATACATCCACTCTGTTTTTCAGCCAGAAGATACACCTCAGCGTTCATCAATCCATCTCTGGCGTATGGACTCACCTTCCACTGTCCTGGATTTACCCTCACAGAGTATGCAGTGGTGTACTGGCTGAGCTCTTTAACAGGTAACTTTTATCACATATGTTTGTGCACGTGTGCTGTCAGCTGTTTTCAAGCTTTCACGTGAATGAATGTCTGTTTTTTTTTGTAGGAATGACTTTGGCTGTTCTCCTGTACATGGGCCATATTCCGAGGTTTTTTGCCAAAAACCTTCTATACTTTCAGAAGACACGCTTCAGAGTGCCAAAAGGAGAGAAAGCAGAAAAGAAGAAAATGTGAAATTCATGTTAAAAGAATGTATTTATTATACTTTTTTTAAAAACATGTAATTGAATGATAGCAAAAGGCCATTAGTTGTGGGACTTCTATTTAATAGATAAATTGTGTAGGCTAGTTTAAAGACAAAAACTTTCACTTTTTGAAAAACAATCTGCCATCTTCGGCTTATTAAAGTTATTGATTTCAGATTTAGCAAGATCACTGAAATGAACAGAAAACAGTTTATTGTTTGAAATAATATCAAAAACTACCATTCAGTAAATATATACTTCAAATAGACATGTTTTATACAAAAAGCCAAACCAAGGAGACGTTGCTGCTATGTTCTGGCAGGAGCCACATGAAGTGTGGAGGACTGTGACCCATCGGACTTTGTGTTTTTTGGCTCATTTTTAGCAGACATGCTTGGACCTGTGGGTCCAACAGAAAACAGTCACCACCAGAGGGTTTTCTTTGAAGAAAGTCTAGATTAGCAACATTTATGAATTTATGAACTAGATCTGTTTTGAAGCCTGTTAACTCACCCGGCTGCTTTTGCTGCTCCAGCTGGGCCTCGGGTCGGTCCACCCATAAACGGTAATCTGGATTATTCAGTAGAGATTTGCTCTGACCGCAGCTGAGACACCTCAGCACAGTGAAGCGAGTCTTTTTGTTTTTTCCTTATGAAACAAACAAAACCCAAAAATACATACCATCATTATTTATGAAACTTGTGCTGCTGACTGGGTAAAACGATCCCCTAAACAACTGGTTACAGTCAGGAGCCATTAATCTAGCAGAGGAAATTACAAACCGACTTACTTCGTTGTCTTGTTGTTGCTGTAACACCCGGAATAAGCAACGAGCAACATTTCTTGCAAATTGTTCTCTTCACTGATGGGTCCCTGCAATAAAACAATCAATACTTCAGCTTCTCTCTCTGTTTTCTTGACGGTCCGGTCTGTGGCTACAAGCCTGTGTTTCCTCCAACAAAAAGAAATGTATTTGTCAAAATAAATTTTGTTTGTTAAACCAATATAATGCTCCCTCACAACAGGCTTAACTGTAACGAAACATACAAGAATTTATTTCTAATGCGTCAGAGCAAATATTAAACTTCTCTAGACATTTAACAAGGTTTAATAAAGGATTGACTTACTGGACGCCAAACCGTCCTCAGTATTTATGCTTAGTGTAGACAACTATTATGTAATCTTCATTTGTTACAACTAAAATACTTCTACTTTAAAAGTGACACGTTATGGCATTTTTTTTTACAAGTTTCTTGAGGTATTGGAGCAGCTTTGAATTAATACCAAAGAAAACAAAACCTCTCTTTTCAAGCATGAATTTACAGCTCTCTTTATGCCAGCTGGTTTGAAGAGGGTGGACTATTCATCCATACACTCCTCTGTGTTGCTGTTAAAAACAAGTGCTACCGTTTCCTGCGATCGTGACAGTCTAAATTTGGTTACAAATTACTAGTTATTAATGATACAACAGAGCATACAAAGCACAAA